CAACAGTGAGTCAACCGAAACAAGTGGTGAATCATTTGTGGTATAAAACTTCTGAAGCAAACAACGCGCCGAAGACTGCGATCACAACTCAAAGCCAATCACAGGACAAGAAAGTGGTTTATATAGTCGTAAACCCTATTAACCAAAATTCAGACCAAACGTCGAGACAAACCTCTGGAACCATTCCTTTGGGACAACAATTAAGATTGGTTTCGGTGGCCAAAGATATGCACTGTTCGGTCACTGACTGTCCATTCAAGTGCCGATCAATGGATTTATTGGAAAATCACATCAAAAGCCACGAAAACAATAAGTGGCCGAAACTGTTGCCCGGATTCACATCAATAACACAACAGCGCGAAGAACTTGTCAAACAGTGTTACGACTCGACCACCGACTCATATCATTGCCGACAAACTGGTTGTCAGAAGTACTGTAAGACATACGGACTGTTACTCCAACACACGAAGAGATTCCATACGAATGAGAGCTACGGCTGCGATCACCCGGACTGTGACAAGCGGTTCAAAACTCGATACGAGTGCCGAAAACATTACGGCTTAATTCACGCGGAGGTTAAGCCCCCGAAGCGGTTCGTGTGTCCGCTCGACGGCTGCGACTTTCGGTGCTCTTTGGCGTCGAATCTGAAGCCACACGTCAAGAGTCACGACAATGTGAAGCGAAAGTCGGAACTCGCGGAACAACGAGTTCGTGAGATGCGCGACAAGTACTACGATTCGACCACCGATTCGTATCGTTGCCGCGAAACCGGTTGCGACAAAGAGTGGAAGACATGCAAACAACTGGAGCTCCACATGAAGATAGTTCACGGACCCAAACGTCACGCCTGTCGACACCCGGACTGTCACATGATGTTTCCGACCCGGTGTCTCTCCATATACCACTTCAACGCCGTTCACAACAAGCAGTTCAAGTGTCCGATCGGTGAGTGCGGCCACGAATACGGCGACCGGCCGTCGCTGAACCAACACATGGTTACTGTCCATACGTCAGAGTATACCGATTATGTGAGAAACAGTCGCGCCAATCGGGACACTGCCTATCAGTGTTCGCATCCGGGCTGTGGCCGAAGGTTTAAGTCACGCTATTCTCTAGACACATGGTTACTGTCCATACGTCAGAGTATACCGATTATGTGAGAAACAGTCGCGCCAATCGGGACACTGCCTATCAGTGTTCGCATCCGGGCTGTGGCCGAAGGTTTAAGTCACGCTATTCTCTAGCGAGACATGAGTCAGCGCACAGCGCAGTGCCTACTCTTAAGTGCCCGAAATGTTTGCAACTGTTCCGCAATCGACGGCTCCTGAATCAGCATCAGGTGTCTGAAGGCCATTATAAGAGACAAAATGCTGGCCGAAAGGGGCCCACAGACTACCGGTGCGAATGGCCCGGTTGTCAATACACTGGCAATTTGTATGGTCTTAGAGATCACATTACAATTCATACGGGGGAAAAGCCACACGCGTGCGATTGGCCCGATTGTGGTAAACGGTTCCGATTGATGGGCAGTTTGACTGAACACATGAATAATCATCAAAACATTAAGCCTTATGCGTGTCATTGGCCCGGATGTGAGTATAGGAGCGCTTATTCGGCCAATACTATAAAACACAATAAACTCGTTCATCAAAAATAATGCCATCAATTGTCTTAAAATGATGAATTTAATAAACAATTTAACAGTTTTGTACTTTTGTCTCAAATAATTTGTTTGTTTTGTGTTTTTCTTCTATAAATAACAAACAATTAAAACTATCAATGAATTGATTGTTAACTAAACACTAGTTTCTCTTTCACGACATTAAAGTTGAGTTGAATTTTGTTTTTAATTGAGTCGAAGAAAGCGCCGTAAATGTGGCGTTTGATTGAGTCGACGGATCTGTTGGCGACCAGAGTGGACACCCGCGACACGAAGAACTTGATCATTCGCTTCAGTAGTCGCACACCAATGATATTGTCCGGTATATTGACGTCCACTTTGAAGCCATCGATTCGGTCGACTCTCATGTCCGACAACTCGTTTCGGCCGTCCGTCCGCTCTCTCACCTCAAACTCCATCTCTAATTGTCTGATCTGTCGATTCAATCACCAGATAATCAACACATTTGTTCGCAAAGCATATGATTTAAAAAAAATTATGATTTAATTTTCGACTTAACAGTAATTATAACGTTTTCGGCGAAACTCATGCCGAATAAGTTGTGTATTTTCCAGTCATAGACACCCATAAGATTGTCAAACAACACACGGATCCGGTATTTGACACTCTGGTCGTCCAGCTCTTGGCACACGGGTTGGCCCATAATCTTAAAGTCTTTGTTTATGGTAAGTTTGCCGTTGTTAAGCGTCACTCGAAAACTATTGCCCCGTTGTATTGGCCGTAGTCTCAGAAGTGTGGGAACAAATTTGGACAATATGTCAGTTATCTGTAAAGCAAACTATTTATAAGTTTATAATTACTTTATAATATAGAAAAACTGACCTTTGCTTTGATGTCCTGATCATCGAGAGAGCACTTCCACTTGGGTTTTGGCAAAGAGTTTGTGTCAATGGGTTGCATGGGTTTGGTGTCGAAGAGCATCTCATCCGATATTATATCCGACACTAACAACGATTGAGTGGTTGTTGTGGTAGTTGTCGTGGTTTGTGATTCTTCTGCATATTCATCGATATCTCGTTTGTTATATAAAATGTGATTATATCTGGACTTCACTTAAGCAAAAGATTTATACATTTAATTAAAAGTACAGAATTTTGTTATAAAATATACATTTTTATTACCATTTCTGGGACTGAATATCCGTATATTAAATACGGTATAATTGTTGATAAAATTATATGATTTAATTTGAATGAAAACATTTGGTGAACGCAAAAGTTATTACAACTCTGTATTTAGAAAAATAACTATTATTATAAAAATTTAAAAATTACTTTACAATAAGATTTATAATGGAAATTAACTAAACGTCTCAAACATTAACGCAATTTGTATATAAATGTTAGCCTAATTAAAAATATAGATAATTTTTTACGACAACAGCAAAAAACATAAGTGTATTATTAGGTGAGAGACGAGGCATTAAAATTCCGGGCAAATGTATTGTCGCAATCACTTCCCATATCCTTCCCAATGGAAATGTAGTGTCAAATCAATAGCTAATGTCAGACAATGTATCGATTTTGAAGTTTATTTGAGTTTATTCTAACAATTCTGGTGTCGTTTACGTAATGATGACCACAATTCATATGCATTTCATTTGAATTAATCATTTTTAACAATAAATTTTCTAATGAAAAGTTGTATAACTAAATATTATTAAGACTAAAGGCATGTTATAACATGGTAATATGCATGTAGCATGACAAATATTATGGTAATCTATACGCATAATTGTACTATACCAATAAATATACTTTTAATTAAATATTTAATCATCATAAATTATAAATTTGATTAGTTATCATAATCAGTGCAGCAATAAATAGTACATTTAATGTATTTAAGGCTTAATTTTAAGCTTTTCTTGTATGGCAGCGTAGAAAACATCTCTCATATGGCGGACAATTGAATCCATGGAACCGTTGGCTACAGTTGTGGACAGTCTTGAGATGACGTACTCCAGCATCGGCTTCAGGAATGAGTTGGAAGCGATTCTCTCCGGTATATTGACCCTCACTTTCAAGCCATCAATTTTACCCACTCTTATCTCATCCAAACGGGACTTTTGTTGCTTATTCTCGGCAATCACTAACTCTATTACCATCTCTTTTATCTAAAAACACACCGTTTTTAACCGCAAAATAAAATTTATTATAACTAAAAATATATAAAAGTGTCCACAAAATCAATGGCAACAAAACAAAGCTCTTAACTGTAATGAAAGCGCTTTCGCCGAAGTCATAGCCGAAGAGATTTTTCACTTTCCACTCGTAGACACCCATAAGATCAGTGAAGAGGACTGTGATATCATATTTGTATGTTTGGTCGTCGGGTTGGCGGCACACGGGCTGACCCATCGGCTTATAGTCCTGACGAGCGATCGTAAGTTTGCCGTTTTCTAACCGTATTCTCGTTGAGTTACCTCTGGTTATGGGCTTTAATATCAGTGAATCGGGAATATATTTCTCCAACAATTCTGTTATCTAACGATAATTAACAGTAAAATCAATTTTAATTCAGTCATAATATGTTATAAACCATATGTAAACCTTAATTGCAAATAATTCTGGCTTAAGATTACAGGTCCCGGAATCGGTGCCCGAAGTGTCCGGCGATTCCGTAGGTCTGACAGGTTTATCGTTGTTGGGATCGATGGCCGGCTCTGTTTCGGTGGTCAGCACCGGGTTTACCACATTTTCCTCCGCCTCCACCTCCGATGGCCGACCAGTTGTCCCGTTGACCATCAGTTGCTGGTCGGGTGTGGTGTCCGACCCATCGATGTCGTGAAACTCGTAGTCTGTTTTTGGGTCGACTTTTGAAGAAAAGTATAATTTTTTTGTAATAACTTATGAAAAATACTTTTTATTTCCGAAAAATTAATTTTCTCTCTCAATACCTGTTAATTGAATAGTTTTGCCGCAAATTAATTGCGAATTAATTATACATAATATTTGCAACAAAAATAGTTTGTTTAATATCATAATTAAAAATATTTTAATACAACGATTAATTTCATATGAATTTATATGTGTTAATAAAGTAAAGGTTTAATAAATTTTGTAAAATAATAATTTTACAACAATTATATGATTTTTATAGCAAAAAAACATCAATATATTTAACACAAGTATAATAGTGTCGGAAATTATCGTTTCCTTTCCAAATAATTATTATATATTTTTGTAAATTAAAAGTTTATATTTTTAAATTAAATCAACAAAAATAATATTATGTTGATGTGTTTTTAATAAAACTTTAATAATTAGTTTTAAATTAAAACTTTTAATTTTATTTTATGCTTTAATTTGAATATTATTTGTGCTTTAAGTTGAATATTATTTTATACTTTAATTTAAATATTATTTTATGCTTTAATTTGAATATTATTTTACTTAAAATTCAAATTATTTTATTTTCATAGCCATTGGAATCGATCGGTGATCTGAAGATTGGTTGTACAGAAATGGGTGTGAGGTTGAGATAGTATCATGTCTTATGTCCAGTTATATGGACTATTGGACGCAAAAATTAATTACATTTATGTGTTTTCAATGGGAATCCACACAAAGAATCTAATATAAGATATAATTAACAATAATATCAAAGAATTGACTGAAAATACACGTTAACATAGGGTTTAATATATTTAACTACATGTGCCGATTGGATAGTGAGTCTATCCTTGAGTTACTTGATATCCGATCATGTTTCTCAAAATATATTTAACATTACTCTGTAATACAGATTCTTTATCGAGAATATTCTTGGAGGCAATCATTATAAACACTGGAAAATGAAATATAATGATCAGTATTACTAAAAATAGTGAAACATAATATTAGTTGCCTATAAATAGTAGTGTTTAATATTTATAACAATCAAATTGATATACAAAAATACTATTAAATTTACTATTTTGTAATCCTAATAATAGGATTTTCTATAATAACTTAATAACAATAGAGACATAAAAATTGCTGAATTGCTTAAAGAATTATCATGTTTTCATTATTATGTTACTTTCAATTATTGTCACACAATATTGTTGGGTAAGACTGTATGTGACGGTCAATCGCATGGGAATGTCGTGTTTCTCTCTATCTCTCGATGAAAGACTAGACCCAAGGGATGGACAGTTGTGCAGGAATTTTAGCACATGATAATCGTTTCGCACCATATATTTTATTGACCGACAAAATTGTATTTAATTTACGTTAAAAGCCAGACACAGATTGATAAGTTATTTGGATGTGTGTGAGAGAGAGAGAGAGAGAGAGAGAGAGAGAGAGAGAGAGAATTGTAAGAAAAGGAGAGGTGTGTGTATTGTTGATATATTGTCACAATAGATGCCCACCAGTGCTGTGCTTATGAAGTGAATATTATTACGGGTTTGTGAATGAAATGTTGAATTCACGTCACACTTGAAAAATCGATATCATCTCAAACTCCAGCATAAAAGTAGACCTAAAACTCACTTCTTCTCTGTTGATCACTCTTTATATGCTCTCTCTCTCTCTCTCTCTCTCACATCCAAATAACTTATCAATCTGTGTCTGGCTTTTAACGTAAATTAAATACAATTTTGTCGGTCAATAAAATATA